AGAGATATTAATACCAAGATATTTAATGTTGCCTGTGCAGAATTTGGGGGAGGAGTCTTGAGCTGCAGAATCCCAGGCATCCTCAGAGAGTGGTAGTATGGTGGATTTATTCCAGTTTATTGTGTAGTTTGAGATCTTAGAAAATGTGTTAATAATATGTAAAGTTTCCTGTAGAGAATTATAGGGATCCTGTAAATATAATAATAAATCATCTGCGTAATTTTGTATTCTGAGTAAGTATCTTGTATTTCTTTAATTATATTGTTCTGTCGTATAGCTGCTGTAAGAGGTTCGATGAAAATGGCAAATAGAGATGGTGACAGTGGGCATCCTTGTCTGGTACCCTGCTGTAAAATGAAACTTTGTGACCTGATCCCATTTGTACTTATTGTTGCCCTAGGTGATGTGTACAGTGTTCTTATCCAATGGATGAACGACTCTCCAAACCCAAATCTGTGTAATGTACAAAAGAGAAATGTCCAGTTAACTTTGTCAAATGCTTTCTCTGCATCTAGTGATAAAACTATGGTTTTGGTTTGTTTTTGTTGTGCAAGAACAATTAAATTAAATAATCTACGAATGTTGTCTGAAGCATTCCTGTTTTTAATGAAACCTGTTTGGTCTGGGTGGATTAGTATTGGGGTGACTGTCTCTATTCTAGTAGCTATGGCTTTGGTAATGATTTTTAAGTCTGGATTAATAAGTGATAAGGGACGGTAACTAGAAGGGTGGATTTGGTCTTTGTTTGGTTTTAACAAGAGTGTCATGATGGCTGTGTCCATGTGTGTTGGTATCGTGGAGGTGTCTTTAATTTCTGTGGTGACTTTGAGAAACAGTGGTGATAGCATTTGCCAAAAATGTTTATAAATTCAGCTGGTAGTCCATCAGGTCCGGGTGCTTTGTTATTTGGCATTGAAATTAGTGCTTTATGGAGTTCGTCAATGGTGAGAGGAGCATCTAATCTGTCAGCTTGTTCTCTGGGTAATGTTGGCGGTTCTAAACTATCTAAGAAAGTGTCTATTTCTGATGAATTTGGGTTGTAATTGGGGGAGTAAAGTTTGCTGTAAAAGGTTTGGAATATTAATATCTTGTGGATTCTGAACAATTTCACCTCTAGGATTGATGCTTTTTCCTTTTTGCGTTGTAATTGATTAGCCAGATAATTACCTGTTTTGTTGCTATACTGAAAGTGTTCATATTTGAGTTGTTGAATAAGAAACCATGCTTTTTTATATATAATATTTTCAAGTTCCATTTTTAGTTCGCTTAATTCATTTTGTGTTTGTTCGCTAGGGTTTTGAGAATGTAAAGTTGTTTTATCTTTTGTTCTAAGGTGCTTTCCAGTTCTAGTTGTTTTTTTTCTTTTTGTACAATGAGTATGATATTATTTTCCCTCTAATTACTGCTTTGCCTGTTTCCCATAATAATGAGGGTGAGATTTCTGGAGAGTCGTTCATCTCCAGAAAGAATGCCCACTCTTTTTCAATAAATGTAATAAAATCTAAGTCCTGGAGTAATGATGTGTTGAAGCACCATCTTCTAGATTATTATTTCAGTGGAGTGCCAATTTCTTATATTGCTGGAGATGCTTGAATGGTCAATTTCTGGGTTAATAACAGTGTTAAAATCACCAGCAATAATAATATTTGTTGAGTTGCATAAAGATGAGAAAAAATTATGAAAAAAGGATGAATCATCATTATTGGGGCTGTATAAGTTCGCAAGTGTGTATGTTGTCTGGTTAATGGATACCTTAATAAATATAAATCAGCCTTCTGGATCAGTGATAGATGTATTATGAATTAATGGGATATTTTTATTAATTAAAATTGAGACACCTCTTTGCCTACTCTTATATGTTGATGAAAATATTTGGTTAAATTGTTTGCATTTAAGGTTTTGTGATTCTGGATTTGTTAGGTGGGTTTCTTGTAAAAAGCATATATTAGCATTTAATTTTATCAGATGGTTAATGATTTTAATCCTCTTACTGTCAGGTCCGCTTGGCGCGACCTTCCTCTCTTCCACCTTTTTCTCCTCTGCTCTCTTGATCTTGCGGGCTCTGCACCTCAGCTGTGTTGCATTCCAGTAATTAGCGACTCGTTTGTCGGTGCGCACAGCTGGGGTGCATCCCAATGATTACCTGTCCTCCTTATTTATACCTCTGGCAGATGCTCCATCGTGGCTGGAGCATTGACTGAACATACCGGTGGATATGCATGGTATTATGGTCGTACGTCATTTTGATTTCCTGGCTGACAGTTTCTGTGCTGTGGATTTCATTTTGGACGTTGGTTACGTGTTTTGTGTTAAAAGTTATCTTTATATCCAAGCTGACAATTCCTGTGTTGTGGATATCCATTTTGTTCACCTGTCTTCCTGGTTAGCCTGTCTATTCTCCTGTCTGTCCTCATCCTCCTGCTCTCCTGAGTCCTGCCGTCAGTTTATACCTGTTTGTCCTGGTCTCCTCCTCCATTTCTGCCCTACTTTGCTGATTTACGTACATGGACTTTGTTATGTTGTCATTTGTGTTTTTGTTCCATTAAACCTCCGTTTTTCTACTAGCACCTGGGTCAGCATACTTGAGTCCTACCGCAGTTCTCCCTCACCCTCCTGGTGAGGGGGGCTCAACCCTAACACTTAACCTGGGTCCTGAATCCACGCACATTCCATGACACTATTTTAAGTGACTGAATGATTGTTTGTTATGATTGTTGTTCATGGGAGTTTGCCCAACCAGTCCACATGTGTTTTGTGGATCTGGAGAAGGCAGTCGACCGTGTCCCTCGATGGCACCCTGTGGGGGTGCTCCGGGAGTACGGGGTCCGGGGCCCTTTGCTAAGGGCTGTCCGGTCCCCGTACGACATACACCATGGTTTTCAGTCGGAAAATGGTGGCTTGTTCCCTTCAGGTTGGTGCAGAGTTCCTGCCTCAAGTGGAGGAGTTCAAGTATCTTGGGGTCTTGTTCATGAGTGATGGAAGGATGGAACGGGAGATTGACAGGCGGATCGGTGCAGCTTCTGCAGTAATGCGGTTGATGTACCGGACCATCGTGGTGAAGAAGGTGTTGAGCTGTAAGGTGAAGCTCTCGATTTATTGGTTAATCTACGTTCCAACTCTCACCTATGGTCATGAGCTTTGGGTCATGACCGAAAGGGCAAGATCCCGGATACAGGCGGCCGAAATGTGCTTCCTCCGCAGGGTGGTGGGGCACTCCCTTAGAGATAGGGTGAGGAGCTCGGTCACCCAGGAGGAGCTCAGAGTAGAACCGCTGCTCCTCCACATTGAGAGAAGCCAGCTGAGGTGGCTCGAGCATCTGTTTCAGATGCCTCCTGGGCGCCTTCCTAGGGAGGTGTTCCGGGCATGTCCCACTGGGAGGAGGCCCTGGGGAAGACCCAGGACACGCTGGAGGGACTATGTCGGGAAGTCTGGGCATCTTTGCTTAGACTGCTGCCTCCGCGACCCAGTTCCAGATAAGCGGAGGAAAATGGATGGATGGATATTATTATTATTATAATTCTAACTATTATTATCACTGTTATTATAATAACACTTCTATAAATGATGTTTGGCATTCTGTTTTTGTCATATTTTATTATTGTTATTATTACTATCTTTATGGTTGTCATTTTTAATGTTATTGTTGTTGGTGTTAAAATTCTTACTACTATGACATAAGGTACTATATTCTTATTTTTCACTGTCCTTAATACTGTTTTGCTGTTGTTCTGTGTATTATCATACCTCTCAATGAAAGCAGATCAACATGGCTCCCCCTTTTCATTTACTGATTTGTTAATTTCACTTTTTTTTTATATGTATGCATGTATTTATACATATATATATCCACCAGCACTGTGAATGTTTAATGGATGTGTTCAATAAAGACATGAAAGATTGTCTTGTCTGATTAGTTCAGTGACATTTGTTTTATGAGCAGTTAATCCAGAAAACCAGCGGTTTTCACGTACTTGTCTTGCCACTGTATAACTAGGAAAAGCAACATCAGTGTTATAAGGACAGGGACAAACATAATCTCAGGGGTATGTGAAAGGCAAACATGTATCAAACACCAAAATAACTTGTACTCACAGTTTAGGATGTGGCACTTAGAGATGTCCACCACACCCTTACATAGTTCACCCAGTGGGTTGTCTTCCATGTCCTGTTTTAATGCACATCACAAACACACTGGGATCACTTTCATCTCTCTACTGAGTGACCTCAAATTAAAAAATGACCTAAACTAATCTTCACCTGTCCTTCGGTCCCAGATTGGCCCGGACACGTCGTGTTGGACACTTCCTCTACATAGTTTGATGGGAAGAACTGCTGGATCTTTCCACCATAGTCACCTTTCCACCTGCAGTGAGCGGAATGAGTAGGATAGGGTGAATGGTCTTTTCCAACTGACCATGATAACCAAGTTAATGCTGATAAACATGATGCGGGGACTCACCACCCATCGTTCTCCTTTGTTACATTGTATATCAGAGCTCCTTTACTGAAGCTCAGCTCGTCCGCCATTGTAGCCTGGTAGCTATACAAAGCCCTAACTGTATTTTGAGGCTGAAGGAGACAAACACACACACCACCATGAATGTTTATATCAAAGGAAATTGAACAAAATAACAGACCACCAAATCCTGCCGATCACAGTGTTGTATACCCACCAGTGAGGGCTCAATCTCGTTGGGTTCCACATATGTCTTCACCTCATACAGAGAGGCACAGTCCTTCTCCTGTGAAGCACAAGACACTACTAGGTACCAGTCAGTGAAAACAACATGTTTAGAACCATATATGGAACTGATATTGATAGATAAGCAGTCACTCTAGGATGCATTTATAACATCTTTACTTGCAAACAAGCCACAAGATGCAAATACAACTACTTTGAAAACATAAGAAGGCATACTGCATGTTTTTATGATTTCATGTACATTTTTAGGCACTCTAGTGGCTTTAGGGATGCCAATGTCAGTTGTTGGTGCATTTTGGTCCATACAAAAATATCTCAAGGACTATTCAAAGGGGGTCACAATTAAAAGTACACTGAGGGTGACTTTGGGATGAATGTTAATGGCTTTGGTGATGCCCTAACTTTTTATTAACATTCTTGGTTGAGAGTGAAATGTCTCCACAGCTATTATTGCAATGAAGTTTGGTTTAGCTAATCATGTCCCCCAAAGGATGATTTGTAATAACTATGTGACTCCTGCCTTTTGATCAAGCTCAATCATCAAGCTAAAATAAAAAACAAAAAAGGTCCAGTACTCATGACCAAATACCTCCAAAGAGAATGGCATGCCCCTCAGCCTCAGCTGTACTTTGTGCATAGTGCTAATTCACTGTTAGCATGCTACCATGCTAAACTGAAAAGATTATCAGATACAAATAAATAGTTACAGATAAACATAAGTACGGATGAACACAAGATGCGATTACAACCTTGGCAGGTTGTCATCACATCACAGGTTTTCATCAACATAAAAGTAAAACTTAGTAAAACTTATGAATAGTGAAATGTCTTCAGTTTTACAATAAGTCAAGCAAATTGTTGTCATTTTTTGACCCGGTTAAATATTTATAAAATACATATGTTTAATTTTATTTTCTTTCACTATTTGCTGCTGGAGTGACAGGGTTTCACTACATGGCTTGTAAACATTCCCTTTGGTCTTTCCATTTCTCCTACAGTTACTCACCGTGCTGAAGCGGTCAACCAGCTCCGGGGTCACTGGGTAGCGTAGCTTGATCTTGCGATACAGCGGCTTCTTCCTGAAGTAGCTGACCAGCTCCACCAGGCTCTCAAACTCTGTAGTGGTGCCCAGCAGGTACATGTTGCCCTCTTTCTGAATCCGGCAGTGTTTCACCTTGCCATCACCCCTGAAAGAGCAGGAACCTGATTTCAACAAAAACCCAAACAGATCTAACAAAGAGAAAACCGTGTCATAACTGTCACTGCACCTGAAGGTGATGGCGAAGGAGTCTGGTTCTCCTTCTCTCTGCCGGATGAGGAAAGCTCCATCTCTGGGAATCCTCAGCAGGTAATCCTCTGCCTCACCTCTGCTCAAGTTACTGTAGAACCACCTGCACAACACACATGCAAGGACAGCTACAGTGTGTACTGTATGTTTGTCTATGTCAGAATGTAACTCAAATATCTATATTTCCTAAAGTATTCAGTCATATAGTATTCGTATCTGTCAGCACAGTATGCTTTGGCAAAAAGGTGTTCATCCTCTCATTTCTGTAAAACATTTAGAAGGATTCGAAATGAACTGAAAGAAGAGAGGATCACTATATATCACTATGTGTCTGTGGGTGTCTGAGTGAAAGTGAAAGCTGAAAACTAGAAGCTGTTCATGTGTGGTTGACACAAAGTGAGTGTAGCACACATATCGATTTCCAATGAACCAAAGACTAAGCTTTTGTGTGCTGGAGTAGATTCGCAGATTCTTTATAACATCAGCATGAAAATTGTTGTACCCTCTAATGTAGCCTTTTGTTTGTTTATGTGTATATCAGTGATTACTCTAAAAGGTCCTTGGCGGGTTGAGAAAATTACCCTTATCAAACCAGATCAACTCCACTGTGTGAACACTGTAACATGTAATGCAACATGCTTGGCAGCAGTAACAGCCAAACATCCACCCTGACATTTTGAGAAATACTGTATGCTTCTTTGCTCTATTAAAAGTCAGATAAAACTATCTAATCTCTATCTACAGGTAGGTCGGTAGGTATCTAATCTCTTGTGTGACACATACAGACATGTTTAGCCTAGCTTAGCGCAAACACTGGAAACAGGACAAAACTGTCAGCTTGTCCTTGTTAAAAGTGAAAACATATGCCCCCAACAGCTGTCTAGAGGCCCAATGTCCCTGAAATAAGAAAACCTCAGTCTAATTCCCACTGAAATTGGTAATAAAACAAAGCTAACTAGAGAGATGCATTTCCTGTCGAAAATGTGTGTGGATGCTGTGTGCTGAAAGATCGCCCTGAAAATGCTGAACATTTTGACACGTGAAAAGCATATTTATCTGAAAGTATGCTGAAGTAGAATTTTCCCATTCATTTGAATGGGGGAAAATTTTCAAAATAAAGCTAAATATTTTAAAAGGATAAAGTTTAGAAAAATTCTGAACAGAAGCATGGATGTCCTGGAGGAGCTCAACATTTTGATAGCTGAAAGTATGCTGAAGTAGAATTTTCCCATTCATTTAAATGGGGCAAAACTTTCAAAATAAAGCTAAATATTTCAAAGGTATAAGGTTCACAAAAATCCTGAAGAAAAGCATGAATGTTCTTGAAGAGCTGAACATTTTGATAGCCGAAAGTATGCTGAAGTAGAATTTCCCCATTCATTTGAATGGGGCATCATTTTCAAAATAAAGCTAAATATTTTAAAAGGATGAAGTTTGGAAAAAATCTGAATAGAAGGATGGATGTCCTGGAGAAGCTGATCATTTTGATACCTGAAATTATGCTGAAGTAAAATTTCCCCCATTCATTTGAATGGGGCAAGATTTTCAAAATAAAGCTAAATATTTTAAAAGTATAAATTTTAGAAAAATTCTGCATAGAAGCATGAATGTGCTTGAGGAGCTGATCATTTTGACAGCTGAAGGTATGCCGAAGTAGAATTTTCCCATTCATTTGTATGGGGCAAAGTTTTCAAAATAAAGATAAATATTTCAAAAGTATGAAGTTTAGAAAAATTCTGAAGGGAACCATGAATGTCCTTGAAGAGCTGAACATTTTGATAGCTGAAAGAGCTGAAAGTATGCTGAAGTAGAAGTTTCCCATTCATTTGAATGGGTCAAGATTTTGCTGAAAGACACTAAATAGTTTAAAAAGTATAAAGGTTAGAAACAAGAAAAACAATAGCATAAATGTCCTTAAAAAGCTGAACATTTTGATAGCTGAAATTATGCTGAAGTAGAATTTTCCCATTCATTTGAATGGGGCAAGAATTTCTAAACAAGCTGAACATGTCAATACCTGAACAGGCAGCACGTCACCTGTCCCACCAGGGACAAAGTCACACTGGACCACTGCTACACAACAATAAAAAGACGCCTATCACTCTGTCCCCCGAGCAGCCCTCGGACTCTCTGATCACTGTATGGTCCATCTTATTCCAACCTACAGGCAGAAACTTAAAGCTGTGAAGCCTGTGGTCAAAACAGTGAAGAGCTGGACTGAGGAGGCTAAGTCAGAGCTACAGGCCTGCTTTGACTGCACAGACTGGAGTCAAATCAAATCAAATTTTATTTGTATAACACCAAATCACAACAAAAGTCATCTGAGGACACTTTACAAAGTAAGGTCTAGACCTTACTGTTATCACTATTGTTACAGAGGGAAAACCCAACAAATCCCCCTTGAGCAAGCACTTGGCGACAGTGGGGAGGAAAAACTCCCTTTAAC